AGTAGTTGTAGTAGTAGTGGTGGTGGCAGTAGTAGTAGTAGCAGCAGCAGTAGCAGCAGTAGTGGTGGTCGGAGTAGTAGTCGTCGTCGTCGTCAGGTAGTAGTAGTAGTGGTGGTGGCAGTAGTAGTAGTAGCAGCAGCAGTAGCAGCAGTAGTGGTGGTCGGAGTAGTCGTCGTCGTCGTAGTAGTAGTAGTAGGAGTAGTAGCAGCAGCAGTATCAGTAGCAGGGTCAGCATGCTTCTCCTTATAGAAACGTTTCTGTGTTTAGGATCCAGACAAGCATTAAGAGGAAGTTGAGTGTGGCCCGTTCTGTGCTTTTGTCCGGAGAGTTTAGGATTTAGGGACCCTGATGCCCCGAAGGAGTTGTTTCAGTTTGTGGAGAGCTCCACAGATCTCAGGCTACTGAGCTGCATCTCATTAGAACCATGTGGCCGCAGCCATCAAGCCTCAACCTTAAGGGTTCAGGCTACGGCATAGGATGCAAGGTGAGGCGTCCAACAGAATCGGAATCCCCAACTCGTTGGACAGCTTACTGAGCCCTTCGCATTCAAGCAATTCAAGCTTTCAATTGTTGGGGTGGCGCTGAGAGACTGCAAGACCGGAAGAGTCCGTTGCAGGTGGCCGCTGTCTTTCGTAGGGCGCCTCTTGGATTCAATGAGGATTAAGGAGCGCAAGTTGGTGGGCTTGATTCATCTTTGCAACAGGTAGCTTCAGACGCCGACCAACACGGAAGTTCGATGATCTTCGATTTGCCTTGTGGGCTTAAATACTGCTGAGACTTCCTACCACTCAGCCAGACTGCTTCACGCCCTATCATATTTTGCAACATCCTTCTGCGAGGCTTGCGGAAGCTTTTGGAAGCCGCAACTAGCCGTGTGCTGCCACAAGGAGCAACCTGCATGTTGAGCTGTGGATGGTATGTGTCACACTGGGTTGCGTGTACTAGCTGCTCTTCTCGCCGCTTGCAGTATCTTTGAGCTGTGTCATCTGGACGGCTCAATCACCGGATGGACGGTCATGGACAAGTTTCATGCTACGGCATCCAAACTCTCTAAAGTTGAAGGGCTCGCGGCTTCGGATGTTTGGTCGTAGTCAGGTCTAAAGCCCAAAGCATACAAGACAACCAGAAGAAGGGACTTGATCCTTCAGCTCTTTGGCTTCTTTGACGACGTAGGGGCTGAATGAAGGATGCCTGCTTTTGCCTCTAAATTTCAGTTTAAATTTCAGGTTTAAGTGTTTCGGGTGGGTTGTGCTTCCGGTCTGAGGGTGCAGAGGCTCGGTGTGCCCCAGGGTCCGAAACACAGAAGTCCACCCACGATGGGAGCAGACACAATGGTTGCGCATGGAGCAAGTGAACGGGGAGAGTAGCTTGTCTCCTATGTTTGGGTTACAACTTTCTGGGCTCTCTATACAGCCTGCACGCTGTGGCCGTATGGGTGTCTTCAGGCCAATGACCCAAGCCTGTTACCCTACACCCTAGAGCCCAAGAGCACTAGAACGCTGCGGCACCATGGCGCAGGGCCCGGCGTCGAGGCAGCGAGCTCGCGCTTGAAAATCGGGGTCCGGAGACTCGCGCTGGGCCGCTCACAGCAAACGGTCTAGGGCCAGGATTAGGGGACTAGGTTGACGCCAAGCCCGAAACGGCACCTGTCTGCTTCGAGTGCTTCAGGTGGATGTCGAACATGGTCTCCAACTAAAAAACGACGCTGCGCTGGGGATGTTGGCATGTTCTTACCATGGTCCTACCATGGCTTCACATTGCTATGTTCGTAGGGGTGTAGGTGAGCATACTGCTACATCGCCACATTGCCTTTCGATGGGTCCAGCAGACTTGTTCAGTCTTTATCGATCTGAAACACTCACTTCCGACTCCCTGACCGGTCTTACTTCGCGAGCTTGTTGTTTGGTGCCCGGGATGCAGATCTTAAGTTGTACACCTCTCACCAGCTGTAAATCTGAGACTCCGTTCGGTTGCTAGACTTGGAGATGCAATCGGGCTTCAGAGCTCCCGCAACTCCAAGACCCACCCTTAGAGGTACCTTCCAATCCCAGGCATGCTGCCGGCCATGGTCCCGGACGTCATCAGCAGCTTCCCAGACCGGGAGGAACTGCAGGAGGCCGTGCTGGCCTCCTCGAATGCACTCTGGCTCAGTTTCAGATTTCGTGCTTGCTTAGCGAGGGTTTGGGGCTTAGGAGTTTAGGGTTCATGTTTTAGGGTTCAAGGGTGTGGATGCTAAGTGCAGACATGGAGATGTGGGTGATGTTGAACTGTTGCTGTTTTTGCCTTGCTACTGGTATTGTTACTTTCACTAAACGTGCTCTATGATTCTATTTTGTCATTGGCAAGCTTGAACCTATACCTGCTCCTGAGGAACATGTCGCCACCGCGAGTTCTCTTATTGCCATATCTTCCGATGGTCTATTTGGGCTTCGTTTGAAGGCTTAGACTCGTGTACTCAGTGCCCCAAAGTAGGGTTCCACTTGCTGTAAGCGATGCACAGCGGGGCGTCCTCGTTACGATCCGAACTTGACATGGCAAGTGGCTTGGTGCTTTGGGCCTTGAGGGTGGAGGCCGGAGGCCATGGGCTCAAGGTTGCACTGTTCAATTGTGAAGTTGCACACCCGAACCTTAGAATCTTAGAACCACATCTCAACCCTCCAAACATTGACATTTGGATCCCCAAAGGAGGAAAAGCAGTGTCAGAGGACTCTCGATGTGTGTTGCCTGAACAACTGCATGGTCGATCATGCGAGTTGGTTCAGAGCAAGTGTCTGTCTTGTTGCTCATTTTTTGTCGTAGGTTGCGCATCGACCAAAGAGCATCGAACGAAAGGTGATCATGCTGTCGCACAAGTCATGGCTGATGGTTTCTGCGTTCGTCATCGGCAGCTTCGGCCCCATCGCTGCCCTCGCGTCGGTGGAGGGCTACTCCGAGCCCGCCCGCTTTACGCTTGATCTTTTGGCCTGGAAGTTCGGCTCCCCCGACTCGCTGGACTTCAAGAGCCCGACGACGCGGTTCCTGTCTGCCCTGACGGGGGGTTTCCTTGTGGGATGGGGCATGACCATCTACTTGCTGCAGAAGCACGTGTACGACCTTGCGCCCGAGGGTGTGCGCAAGGCCGTCGTCGGTGGGGCGCTCAGCTGGTTCGTGCTGGACTCGACCGGGTCGATTGCGTCCGGCAACCGCGCGAACGCCTTGTGGAACGCGGGCGTGCTGTTGGCCATCGTCGGCCCGATGTGGTGGCCTGAGCAGAAGCAGCCGCCGAATTGACGATTGATGAGTAATGCGGAAGAAAAATGTTACACACATGAACGGGGTCCAGGATCCCTGGTCTAAACCCGCCTGAAGGAGCATGCCTTGAGCAAAGAGACTTCCAAAGCTTGGTTTAGAGTTTCAGGTTTGTTCGCCACGTTCAACTCAGAACCCTGCAAGCCCCCAAATTCCGAAACCCTAAACCCTAAACCCTAAAGGGCGACTTCCCAGGTCTGGCTGGTCGTGAGCTTCCTTCCCTGGCGCTGGCTGCCGGGCGCGGGAGCGGCGGGAGCCCTCTGCAGTGACGGGGTGACCTGGAGAGCATGGCTTCCCCTTCTTCGCGATCCTTGGGCCACCTAGGGCCTCTAGGGATTAGGGATGGGGTTTAGGATCAAAAAGGGTTTAGGGTTGACATTTTGATTGGGGTTTGGATTTTGGTGTTTAGCCGGCTTGGTGGCAGAGTGTTCGACTCATTGCGATCATGGCAACTCGCCTGGTTAGCGTGTTGTTCGTAGGTTCCACTCCGGAAGCAACTTCAAAAAGGTATGACCGCCCGTGCCCACATCAACTTTCACTTCACTCGAGGTTAACCCTTTTTCGCTCTTCTGCTTCTACGACTATGCGCCAGAGCCCTACAACCGCTGTCTGCAACTTGTACCAGCAGCCGTAAACCCGAAACATCCCGAAACTCTGAGTCTATGATCCACGCTTTCAACTTGTGGCCTAGAACAGACCCTTTCTTCCCAAATCCTCAACCCTGGTGGCGGAGCCCCAAACTCCCAAAGTATGTTCGTGGAGGAAACCAGCGACCCCGATTTTTGCGAGACTCCAGGACTCCAGATTCAAGTTCCGAGGCGCCAGCTGTGGAGCAGGGACTGCCAGACGACGGCTCCGAGCCACCTGCACCATGGGCATGGACAGATCAACTTGTGGGTCTTTTGGGCTTCAGGGGGAGACAGGATTTTTTTTTGGTCCTGCGATGGAGTGATGAAGGCTGTGGGATCCAAGTGTCGATGGAGGTTCCTAGGTAGCTTTGCCGACACCCAATCTAAAGCGGCTTCCGCAAGGCACGGCGGGATCCTGGACCGTATCTATCCGATCTGGAACTGCACTGCAACCTGAAAGAAAGAGAGAGTTTGGTCTAAATGGAGGCCACGTTCGGGACTCTGCACATGCCCTTCTTGTGCAGAGTCCAGACTTTGGCGGTGATATGTGAGCTTAGCGGAGCCAGTTTGTTTGTTGTCTTTTCGTGTGAGTGTCTTGCAAGTCCTTGTCTAGAAATCTTTACAATGTAGCTTCAGGTTAGGATTCCGGATGGGTAAGGTCAGGTTTCCATGCTCAAGGTTTGCTGCTAGCATCGGTGCCTCGAGACTCAACCGTCCGAATCAAGTCTTAAAACACCGTTCGGAGACTTGAGATGGTGCGAAGAGGATCTGTGTACGGCTGCTGCAGCTGTCCGATGATCCGCAAGAGCTCCTCCTGAGTATTGGCTTCTTCTCTCGAACCCCAACGGATCCTTGGAGCCCGACACAGTCTTACCCAAAGCCCGCAGTGACGCTGCAAACTCGGCAAAGCCTCAAACGACTTTGCAATATCTTGTTCAAGGAGCACGGTGAAATGAAGTTCCCACTGCGCAACATCGGTTCACGTTTGAGAGCCCCAACGCCTTAAAGGCATCACCCCGAGCTTGGATCTCAGGTGATGAAGGTGCCGCCGGCCCAGTTTCAACAGAGATCACGCGCAGCCAGTTGCAGTTTCAGTGGTGGTGAGGTGGTTGTGGCAGCGCATTTGGTCGACGTCGTCGTCGTCGCAGTAGTCGTCGTCGTCGTCGTCGTCGTAGTAGTAGTAGTAGTAGTAGTAGTAGGACTCGTAGTAGCACGAGGACGAGGAGGATGATGATGATGAGGAGGAGGTGCAGGACGAGTAGGGAGAGGACCTAGGAGTAAGAGTAGTGGTGGGAGTGATAGCAGCAGTAGCAGTAGCAGAAACCGTAGCCGTAGCTGCAATGGAGGCAGCAGCAGTAACAGTAGCAGTAGCAGTAGCAGGAGCAGTGGCAATAGAGGTCACCGCCGTCGCCGTCGTCCTCGTGCAGCAGTAGTACCGTCATGGCCGTAAGTCTTGTACTTGACTTGAGGCCCCCTCAAGGCAGTTAGAACTCGCAAAACCAATGATTTTGCCCAGACCTCAAGAAAACTCGAATCTTAAAGAATCCTGTACCCTGAAGGTGTTCTACCAGGAACTACTCATGAAGCCACTTGCCGTAAGACTGTCGAGAGCTGCTCCTGGGCCAGGCATTGCTCTGCCCCAAAGATCGCCACATCTGGGTAAGCCCAACTGTCGGTGGCCGGCTGGACGTCAAGAACCTCCTGAGGTCCAATGCCAAGAAGGGAGAGGAAGGCAGAAACCTTCAAGCCCGGCCACAGCCCTAGCCAGGTTTTCGGACTGGTTCATTGGCCACCAGTGGCAGGAAGGCACAGCGCCACATGAATGCTGACTGCTTGTGCAGGCTTCTGTCGGGCACGGGCTGCGTAAAGCCGAAACGTCTTTTCACAATAAAACTTTTTCTGCAATAACAGCAGGCCTCCGGCCTTAAGCATGAATTCCCCTTCGCAGGCTTTACGCTGGATTTGCTACCCGGGCTGGGGAAGTTTTTTTTGAGGGAAGCGTGTGGTCTGATATCTGCACAGCGGCGCATGGCTGTCGAGACATGCAGTTGCGCAAACAGAAGTCTGTAGACCACGAATAACTTTGACGCATTTGAGATAAGCATCTGGACACCAGCTGCTGTGAGGGCTAGTAAGGTGGCATGAAGCACAGAGACCCTCTAGGAATCCACATACTAGGCCCAAGCAAACCTCTCAGTGTTAGTTCATTGTGGATTTGGGATTCGTGGGAGGCAAAGCCCGTCACAACTTGCAGGGTTACCGTGGCTTTTTCTCTTACCTGCAGGTCTAGAATTTAGGGTGGCCAGTCTGCACAGGGTAAGGCATAGCGTCTTTGACTGCTTGTGAGGTTAGTTTGCAGCCGTTCTTCTCACGTTTGCCAGGCTACAGTCATGCAAAAGACTTGGATGCCGCCGGCAGCTGGGTTGGCACTTCAGGGCTTTTTTTGCAGTGAAGTGAGGTGACCATTAACTTTGAGCCCCGCGACTATATTTTCGTATGCCCTCACGGCTCAGCAAATCGCTTTGTAGTCCTCTTCTTCCATACGTCTTATGTAGGGCGTAGGTTTCAATTCTGAAAAGTGGTTTGCCTTCATCGTTAGCGGAGGACCGTCTCAGTCGCACACTCCAACCTTTGCATGGGAACTTTGCCCCAAACTTGTTCTACACTCTCGAGACCTGAGGACTCGCTTTCGCTCTTTGAACTGAGTTGCAGATCCAGCCTTTGAAACGAAGCCTTCTGCAGACCCAAACTCCCAAGCAAATGTTATGACCCCAATTGGTTGGTATTGCGAAGACTTGCCGTTGCGTTATCCTTGGTTTGTAGGTGTGATTCGCTACTGGCTTTGTATGGCACAGGGGTTGTGTGTGCAGTAGTTCTCATGGTCGTAAATTGCTGCTCTGGTCACAGTTGCTATGAAACCTATAATGACAGGTCTTTTCATCACTGCTGTCCGTTTACGGCCGTTCTTGAGGTCGCCAGCAGTGTTTCTGCCGCTATTGCCGTTGTCGGTATTTTTCCTGGTCGCTGTTGTCGTGGTTGACGTCTTCATTACAGCATCATTCTGGTTTCTGGCTGTCGAGCGCCCCTGGGGTCGTTGGGTTTCAGGTTCAAGCCGGCTTAAGCCTTTGGGTTGGGAGTTTGCATGTATTTCTGAAGGCCGCTTAGATCTCCAAACGCTTGAACCCGGCATCTCTCAACGTAAGTCCATTCGGCCCGTAAAGCAAGCACCGTAAACACAAGCCAGCAATCCAGGCTACTGGGCGGAGTTAGCGAGACGACCAGGTCTTTGAGAGGCGCAGGCGATTGCCCAGCGAGTGCCATCATGTGTGGTCACTCTGACATATTCCCTTGGCTCTTGCTAGTGCTTGACCTTCAATCAACCTCAACTCTAAATCCTATTCTGGGCCTTCAGAGCTGATTTGCTTGGCTTGGGAGCTTCTTTATCCGCAGTTTTGGTGGAGGGTTCAGGCTTTTTACCTCGTTTCGCGGTGCAGGCTTTGTGTTGCGAACAACAGTGGCCATGACCGGAGTGGCCGAAATTATACGACACACGAAAGATGTTACTATCCTCAGCAGTGTCATCCGACCAGTACTACGACCACCACCGCTGCCACCGCCGCCACACCACCGCCGTCGTAATCGTCGCCATAGCCGCCGCCAGTGCTGCCACCCACCACCGCCACCACCAATACAATCAGCATCACCATACACAACTAGCATGCACCACCATTCACCACCATGCACCAGCATGCACCAGCATGCACCGTGCCACCGCCATTCCCTCCCTCCGCCCACCACCACCACCACCACCGCCACCACCACCACCGCCACCGCCACCGCCACTGCCACCGCCACCGCCACCGCCACCGCCACCGCCACCGCCGCCGCCGCCAGCGCCGCCAGCGCCAGCGCCAGCGCCAGCGCCAGCGCCAGCGCCAGCACCAGCACCAGCACCAGCGACGACGACGACGACGACTGCCAAGACGACGACTTAACCCCGTCTATACGACTGCGACGACGACCACCACCA